CACACACACACACACACACACACACACACACACACACACACACACACACACACACATAGGCTGTGAACTTAGAAATTTTTCCTAGAGCCTGTTTCTGCGTACTGATGCCAACCTGGAAGTGTAGACTTAGAAAGTGTTCACATTTCAATATTGGCCTCTGCTGGATTCAAGTATTTGCATGTTTGATATGTCTATTTTTTTTAACTTTTAAAAAATATTTTTTGGGATTAAAAAAAATGACATGAAAAAGTAATGAAACAAGGGTAATGTGCATAGGCGGCTCCGTGGGAACAGAGAACAGATCGCAGACCGCTCCTTCCGCTCGGCTCGCTGGTCTGGGCCGCCAGGACCGCGTCCCAGTGATGGACGCCAGCTCCCCCTGATTACGGGGTCCGCCTCTGGTAATGTGCATAATCGTCACAGGCTCGTTTTAAATAGGCTTTCTCGTCTCCCTCCCTCCCTCCCCCCCCTTGATAAAATAACCCTTTCCAGCCCACAATCTGAAAAGTGCCCTTCATGATAGAACTATTCTAAGCAGCTTTTATACTTAAAAAATCAAAATGACAACACACCATACAAACATAAGACGACACAAAATAAAAAGCTGTGAGAAGCATCCTGTCATTACACATGACACTGACCCAGCGCAGCCCGCACTGTCTTGGGAACAGTTCGCAAGGACTGCGGCCAAGGTTCGTCTTCAGTACTGGACAGAGGTACTCGAAAGGGCTGCCGGGCTGCTCGGGTCAAGTGGGGTCCTCAGCGACGCCCGGACTGGAAAGGGTCAGCGTTTCTTCCTAGTGCTGACGACTGCGGTGCCCAGGCGGCCTCTCCGGGCTAGATGGACTCCCCACTGAGAAGGTCGCCGGGAAGCAGAGTGTTCAGCGGGGTGGGGCTTCCGATGACCCTGCCATCGTCGCTACTGGGGGGGCCCCACAGGCTGCTGGAGTACTGGGGGACCCCGCCCCACAGCAGGTCGCTGCTCCCCTTGCCTGCCAGGCACGGGGCGTTCCAGTGGCCAGTGTCGCTGCGCACCAGGCCGTGGGAGCTGCCCGAGGCACCCAGCCGCGTCTGGCTGGTCCCAGCGCTGGGCTGCCAGCTGGAGGTGGGCGGCAGCGCTTGGCCTTGGGCTAAGAAACGGTTCACTTCTTCTTCGCCAGCGAACTCGGCCAAGATGGTAGTGTTTCCCAGAACACACCTAAAAGAGCAGGACAGCAACGAAAGTAAGAGCTGGTGTTTTGAAAAGATACACAGAATTGACAAACCTTTAGCTAGACTAACCAAGAAAAAAAGAAGACACAAATAAACAAAGTCAGAAATGAAAGGGAGACATTACAACTGATAACACAGAAATACACAGGATGTGCCAACAAACTGGATAATCTACAAGAAATGTTCAAATTTCTAGAAACATACAATTTACCAAAATTGAATCATCAATAGAAAATCTGAATGGACCAATAATGAGTAAGGAGGTTGAATCAATAATCAGCTGATGACTCCCAATACAGAAAAGCCCAGGACCACAGATGGTTTCCATGATGAATTCTACCAAACACTTAAAGGGGAATTAACATCAAATCTTCTCAAACTTTTCCAAAAAACTCAAGAGGAGGGAACACTCCCAAACTCATTTTATAAGGCCAATATTATCCTGATACTAAAGCCAGATAAGGACACCACAAACAAACAAACAAAACAAAAAACAAAACCCCAAAAAACACATACAAAAAAAACAAACAAAAAAACCCACAGACCAATATAAATGAATACAGATGCAAAAATTCTCACAAAAGTAAAGATTCTCAACAAAGTACACGCCGGTTAAGTGGGACTTATCTCTGGGATTCAGGCAGGGGTGGTGGTTCAACATATGTAAATCAATAAATGGTATACACCACATCAACAGAATGGAAGATCAAAATCACGTGATCATCTTAACGGGCGTAGAAATAGCATTTGACAAAACACCATGTCCTTTCCAAAAAAAAAAAAAAAAACCACCACGTCCTTTCATGATGAAGACTCAACAAATAGGGTACAGAAAGAACAGGCCTCAACATAATAAAAACCATACATATACACAAAGCTAACATCATTTTCAATGGTAAGAGGTTGAAAGCTTTTCTTCTAAGGTCAGGAGCGAGACAAGGGTGCTCACCCTCACCTCTTCTATTTGATATAGTATTGGAAGTCTTAGCCAGAACAATCAGGCAAGATAAAGAAACAAAAAGTATCCAAGCTGGAAGGGAAGAAGTAAAATTTATTTGCAGATGACATCATCTTACATAGAGATAATCCTAAAGACTCCATCAAACATCTGTTGGAAGTAATCAAAGAATTCAGTAAAATCGCAGAATATAAAATCAACACCCAGAAAGCAGTTGCATTTCTTTCTATACACTAACAATGAAATATCTGAAAAAGAAATAAAGAAAAAATCCAATTCACAATAGCATCAAAAACAGTAAAATACTTAAGAATAAATTTAACCAAGGAAGTGAAAGATCTATACCATGGAAACTACAAGACTTTGATGAAAGAAATTGAAGAAGATACAAAAGGAAAGCCATCCTGTATTCATGGATTGAAAGAATTAAAAATATTCTTAAAATGTCCATACAACCTAAAGCCATCTATAGATTCAATGCAATCCCTATCATATTCCAATGGCATTCTTCATAGAAATGTATAAACAATCCTAAAATGTGTATGGAACCACAAAAGACCCCAAATAGCCAAAGCAACCCTGAGAAAGAACAAAACTGGAGGCATCAAACTTCCTGATTTCAAACAACACTACAAAGCTACAGTAATCAAAACAGTATGGTACTGGCATAAAAACAGATACATAGACCAATGGAACAGAATAGAGTCCAGAAATAGATCCCCACATATACAGTCAACTAATATTTGACAAGGGCACCAAGGATACTCAGTGGGGAAAGGATAGTCCCTTCGATAAATGGTGTTGGGAAAACTGGACGACCACATGCAAAAAAATGAAACTGGACCCCTACCTTACACCACTCACAAAAATTAACTTGAAATGGACTAAAGACTTAAACATAAGACCTGAAACCATAAAACTCCTAGAAGCAAACATAGGGAAAAAACTCCTTGACACTGGTCTTTGCAACAAAATTTTGGATATGACAGCAAAAGCACAGGCAACAAAAGAAAAAAATCAACAAGTGGGACTACATCAAACTAAAAAGCTTCTGCACAGCAAAGGAAACCATCAACAAAATGAAAAGACAACCTATAAAATGGGAAAAGTATTTGCAAACCATCTATCTGATATAGAGAATATCCTGTAACTCAAATATATAGAGAACTCATATAACTCAATAACAAAAAAACCCCAAACAATCTGACTAAAAAATGGGCAAAGGAACTGAATAGATATCTTCCCAAAGAAGACATAGAAATGGACAACAGACACATGAAAAGATGCTCAGCATCACTAATCATCAGGGAAATGCAAGTCAAAACCACAATGAGGTATCACCTCACACTAGTTAGACCGGCTATCATTAAGAAGACAAGAAATGGGCTTCCCTGGTGGCGCAGTGGTTGAGTCCGCCTGCCGATGCAGGGGAGACATTTTTCCAAAGAAGACATACAAATGGCCAACAGGTACATGAAACAGTGCTCAACATTACTTGTAAACAGGGAAATGCAAATCAAAACCACAATGGGCATCACCTTATACCTGTTTGAAGATTATGAAGAAGACAAGAAATAACAAGTGTTGGTGAGGATGTGGAGAAAAGGAAACCCTCCTACACTGTTGGTGGGAACGTACATTGGTGCAGCCACTGTGGAAAAAGTATAGAGGTTCCTCAAAAAATTCAGACTAGAACAACCATACGATCCAGCAAGCCCACCTCTGCGTATATATCCAAAGGAAATGAAAATAGGCTATTGAAGAGATAGATATCTGAACTCCCATGTTTACTGCAGCATTAAAGAGTCAAGATATGGAAACAACCTAATTGTCAACAAATCAGTGGATAAAGAAGATATTTATACACACACACACACACACACACACACACACACAGATACAAACAGACACACTGGAATATTATTCAGCCATGAGAAAGAAGGAAATCCTGCAACAACATGGATTAATCCTGAGGGCCTTATGCTAAGTGAGATAAGTCAAAGATAAATACTGCATGATATCAATCATATACGGAATCTAAAAAAGCCAAACTTGTTGAAACATTCGGGAGTAGAATGGTGGTTACCGGGGGCTGTGGGTGGGAAATGGGGAGAGGCTGGTCTCAGGGTACAAATTTCCAGTTAGAAGATGAGTGAGTTCTGGGGAGCTCGTGTACAGCGCGGTGACTACAGTTAGCAATTCTGTATCCTTTACTTCAAAGTTGCTGAGACAGTAGATCTTAAATGTTCTCACCACAAAAAGGAAATAATAATCATGTGCCCTGATGTGGGTGTTAGCTCACACGGTGGTAATCATATTGCAATATATAAGTGTGTCAAATCAACACTACACTCTAAACTGACAGGCTGTTGTATGTCAGTTACATCTCAAAACAAAAACTCAAAACAAACAAACAAAAAAAGCAGAACAGGGGTCATGTGAGCAGTGCAGCTGTGTGTCTTCCTGTGTTCGCCTCGTTGGCGTTCCCTTTTTTTTTTTTTCAATGGGAAAAGGGCAGCTGGAAGCTTCATGTCACAGGCCACCCAGAAATGGTCGTGCAGTTTACGTTTTAGTATAGCTATTTCCAAGGCCAGATTATGACCTTTTGTTCTCACTTTAGACTTCTAGCAGCTATGTTGTGTCGGTGTAGAGAGCACATTCTTAAGGAAGTGCACGAATGTACCATTAAACTTGGGCATCATTTAGGGTCAGGGCAATTTATACCCTGGGCTAAAAATAGGAAGGATTAACTTCTAGGGCCCACACCCCAAGTGATGTCGCTGAGTAGGTCTACTCACACATCTTATCAAAAGCGTCCTTTAATCAGGGGAGAGGAGTTGGCTGCAGGGACCACTACGAGGCCCAGCAGTGGGTCTGAATGTGTCGTATGCCTGGAGACATCTTCTATGGACAGAGCATCTTCTATCACTGGGCTCTACACGTGCTCTCTCTTGGGGGACCCTTTCCCTCCTGGGTGGGGGGAGGCCAAGCCACGGCACTTCAGCAGAAGAAACCGACACGTCACAAGACACCTATTACAGGGTGAATTGTGTCCCCCCAAATTCATATGTTGAAGCCCTAAGCCCCAAGACTGCACTGTGCCTATATTTGGAAAGAGGTCTTTAAAGAGGGAATTAAGGTAATATTAGGTCAGGAGAGTGGCCCTAATTCACTTAGACTGGTGTCCTTAGAAGGAGAGGAAGTCAGGACACAGACACTCAGGCCGAGAGCCTTGAAGGACACAAGACTGGGCAGCCGAGTGCAAGCCGAGGAGAGAGGCCCAGGGGGCAGCTGACCCTGTCCGCACAACATTGGACTTCCCGCCCGCCCGCGGTGCTCTGTGGCTGCGGCCCCAGGACCCGCCCACAACGCCCAGCCCCGGCACCACCGGGCTGCAGCCAGGGCTGCGCGGGGCAGGGGAGGGACATACATGTGCAGGGACTTCTGGGCCTTGGCGGCTTCCTCCTTGGAGCTGTACCGGACCACGGCGTTGCCTTGGGTTAGGTTCAGGTGGAATGTGATGAGAGGCCCGTGCTGCAAGCACAGCGTCCGCAGGGTGGAGCCATCGATCTGATCGAGGAAGCAGAGGGGCGGTAACACGCGTCCCGGGGGTTCTTCACTATACACATTTATGGAATCCAGGTGCACGGTACCTTGGGAAGATGTCTGTCCTTGAAAGGGCTTACTGTATGATTATGATATTAACCTTTTGCACCTTGTAACTTACTGTGTAATTTAAAATCTTGGACATTTCAGTTATAGTTTCTGAGTTGGGCTAACAGAAGAAGGAGAAAACCCTGCTTTGGTTCCGACCCCCTCTCTCCAGAGCACATCACACAGAGCCTCGCGGCCCCCGACCCTGGGAAAAGTGAGCACAGGCCAAATCGTTCTGGAGCGGGTACAGGTGAGCAATTCTGTTTGTAAGGGGACA